TTAGTGACTCTTCTCAGCTCAGAACCGCATTCCAGGTGTGTGCTCAAAGCCACAGAACATGATGCAGTCTGTAAAAACACCAGGCTGTTCTGGAATGTGTGGAGAAATATTTCGACCACATTTCAGATTCAGCCTAGGGATGAAAACCCTGATCCCCTGGGGTTTTGTATGAAGCATGCAACTTCTACTGAGCGCCACACTGTTGTTTCTTCCCTATCCTCCCTCCCACCCCTCTCTAACTGAAATTGCAGTTTCCCTTCCTTCCTATCGCTGCAGGGGCAGTACTTCGTTTAGCAATGCAGGAATGTCCTGCCTGTGCTCAGACACAAGACCGCAGTGTCTTGGCAAAAGCCCCATCTCCTTGCTGGCCTGGAATGTGAGAACGACCTGGCCAGCCCATACTGGTGTTTGGAACGGGCTTTCTCAAAGTGCTGGGCAGCTGAGTGCCTTCTCCTGATAAAGTGGGGATGCCAGAGAAATGGCAAATGCAGGCAGGTGGGCACGGTGAAAGGGGAGGGTGGCTAAGAAGTGCCATTGTCACCTCGTGCAGGATGTGCTGAGGTGGATGTTCCCTTGGCTGCTGAGAGCAGTCACTGTGTTACTCTGGGTGCTCTGGCCTCTGCTGTCCTGCTCATCAGCCTTTCCACTCGCACTCCAGCGCTGGCACTTGAGGCTGCACTGCCTGAAGCTCTTCATATCTCTGCCGTGGAGCGTGAAGGGGTGGTGAGCTTCCTTGCCTTAATGAAGTGGGTTACCTTCCAGCAGAGTCCTCTGGAGAGGAGTCTCCTCCTCCCAAATTGGGGAGCTTGCTGCTCAGACGTGACACTTCCATCATTACAGAACAGCAGGATAAGCAGAGAGGAAACAAATTGCTTTAAACGTGAAAGCAAACGCTAATTCTCTCCTCACCTCCCTGCTCCTCCTCCCCCAGCAAAGACTCGTAATTGCAATGATACGTTGTGCCCTTCCCGGCTCCAGTGAGGCTTTATAAAAGTTTTCTCCTTTATGCCAGGTCCCAGAAAGTGACTGTCAGCTTTGTGGGGTGCTTTCCCCCAGTGAGCCATCCGGTACTTAGGGTGACAGAAGCAGAGTGCCAGCTCTGGGAGCACCAAGCAGCAGGGGGAGCAGGGTGAGGAGCTCCTGGGCTACAGAGTGCTGGCTGACAAGAACACTGCCAGAGCCTGGACCTGCTGCTAGGGCCATTTTTGGAAGAACTTCAGGGTTTTTTTTTTTAAGTTTTTGGGAAGTTTTCCAGAGTTTCAAACCTTGGGTTTGCTTGGTGTCTGGTAAAAAGTCAGAGGTTTTCAAAATGTTCAGTCCTGTGTATCCTGCTCCTTGTTTGCTTTGATGTGACCAAGTCCTGGAATTGTCTAAGGAATGGGGAAATATCCAGTGATCAAAACAAGTGGTGAAATAGGTGATTTCCCCCAACCTTCCCCAAAGCCCCAGTTATTCTGTGAGTCAGTTGTGTGGTTCCTTCCTGCACACCTGGATTGAGCCCTGGAGGCTGTTCCTGTCAAGTATTGTGTCTGGCTTGTTGTTTGGCCAAAACAGGTGAAAACCCAAGTATCTTCCCTACCCCCCTTGACAAACGTGGCACCTGGGGAAGCTGCGCCCACTCAGATCTCTCGCTCCTTCAAAAGGATTTTTGGCAGTGAACACTGGACCTCAGCACGTGCTCTGGTGTGTTCTGTAGGCTCACAGGAATGGAGAATGGCCCAAGCCAGGAAATGAATTCCCACAGGCTGGGCTGGCAAACACAGAAGAGACCTCAGGAACTGAATTCCACCCTGCAGGCAGCACCTTGGGTTAAGCAATGTTTGGGCACAGCTGGTTTGGTTGCAGCTGTGTTTTGACAGCATGGCTGTGAGTGGAGGTGGGAGCTGTCTGCAGACACTGCTGTGGACACTCGGCTGCTTTGTGCCAACGCAGAAGCTTTGCAGAGATTACTTGGATTTTCCCCAGCTGTGGCCCCTTTAGCAGGTGTCCCTGGGGTAGGTAGTGATGGCTGGTGAAAGACACTCAGTTTTCCGAGGATAAAAAGAAATTCCAGCTAAGCACAGGTTTGGAAGAAGTGGGCTGGTTCCAGTGTGCAGCTTGGCCTGGGCTCAGGGCTGAGGAGCAAACCTGGTTGCTCACAGCCCTAGTTGCTCACACCCCTACATCCACACAGATCTCACTCTGCAGCTGCTCCTTGTGGACACCCCTAATGGGAAGCTCTTGTTCTCCTGCTCCACGCTACCAGATAAGGAGTGAGTTGGGGGGTGGCTTCCAGGTAGCTCTGAGATCAAATGTGATCCCCTCTGGTGACTCCTCCTGCCTTGCTGCCCTGAGGGTAAGGGGACTGTGTGGCTGCTGGAGGCCTGTGAGCTGGGTGAGTTCCTCTTGCTGAATTGGTGTGGAGCTCCAAAGAGGGATTTAACTCCACAGACTGACTGTGTATTCAGCTTCAGCTCCTGACCAGCCCTGAAATGAGGCCGTGCCTCTCCCAGCAGCACACACAGCTCCTCTGCCACCAGAGATTGGCAGTATAGATGGTGCTGTTGCACTCAAGACTATCTTTTTCTTAAATGGAAGGAAATGTCACGTGGGGATTTTCTCTGGTTGATGCTAGGGGCTGCCTGCTTTAAGGGCAGCCATGAGATAGAAAACAGCTAGAGGGGCTGTCACCTGCCAGGCCATTTCTCCTCATTTATTTAAGCTTAGCTTCGTGTTCAAACCTTCAGCAGTGCTGCCCTGTGCCAAAGAGACTGGCAAACATTGTGTGCCTGGGTACAGCCAGCTCCCACAGGGGGAGGCTTCAGCACTGGGGGTTTGGAACCAGTTTTTGGCACACCTCTGCCTTCTCCCCTCTCTGTTTGAGGTCATGGCGTGTAATACAGTTACCACAGAGTAATTTTTCCATGCACTTAATGACTTTCTGGGGACGGTGCCATTGCTGCTTGGAGGGCTGCAGGAAGTGTGTGCTGTGGGGGGCAGTCATCCACCTTGGGGCCTGGTGCCCACAGCATCACTGCTTTGTGCTCAGCCCTGAGCTCTCTTTCCAGATGCAAAGTGCTGGGTCTGAGTGCTCATGCTGGGGAAAGTCCCTTGTGTTGCAGGATACAAATTTAAGCAGTGAGGAGCAGAGAGAGGCAGATGCACAACAAGGAAATGCTGGGAGGTCCTGGATGTCCAGAAGGACTTTAGGAGATGGCTCTGCTGGCTCTCTAAGCAGAACAGTGTTTTTGGCTTTGATGCCCGTTTATAACTCAATGCTGGGAAGGTCAAGCATCCACTGAGTGCTGTTTCCCCTCTGTGCTGGTGATGATCTTGTCCCCCAGAGGAACTGTGGGCAGCCAGCACAGGGGAGCAGAAGGATGGGCAGGCACCAAGGAGTGAAATGTGCTGCTCTCTGCATTAGGGCAGCTGCTTTAATTTTGGGGGACTGATTTCTCCTTCCTTTCAATTTGTTTCACTCCTCCTGTAACCACCTGACCCAAACCTTGCTCCTGTGCAACTTTCCATTGTGCTGTCTGGTCCTGAGCTCAGCAGCATCTTGGGACAGCAGCAACAACAAAATCTGGGATGGAGAGGAGCAAGCTGCAGCCCTGGGGAGATACCCACAGGGAGGGCTGGATTATTCTGACTGGGTTATTCAGCAATGCTGCAGTGAGCCTCTGGCCCAAGTAATAAGTTTTGCTGGAATTTCTGTCATTCCTCTACCCTGTCCTACCTCTACTCTAATGCTGAAGAAGGGACTGTCCATCCTTGACCAGAGTTTCACAGGCAGATTGGGGATTTCTGACCTCTGCCTGCTTGCCAGATGAGTTCCAGCTCATTTAAAATCAAGTATCAGCTTTGGTGGCACAAGAAGCACTGAGAAGCAGCAGGTGCAGAGCACAGAAAGTAAAACAAAGGGTGTGGAGCACATCCCAGCACAGTGGGTTTCAGGGTCCCATGAGCAGTTTCTCCCACCCTGACTGTGCTGCAGGATGCTGAGGCCACAGACAAGCATGCATTTGCCCTCTGCTCACTGCAGTCCTTTCTCCAAACTCTAATTGCCAAGTATCCATGATTTATAATTTTTCCTCCCTCTATTAAAATACAGGACATCTCACTGCAGCCAGCTTTCACCCTGAGAGTCCCCTAGGAGAGATTTGTGAGTGGTAATTAGAGTGCAGGAGCCTTTAACCTCGAGGACATCTCTCAGCATTGAGCTCCCTGGGTAGAAAGTGCTGACTGTGTTTTGGCTGATGCCCAAGATTAGAGCTGCAGCTCTAAGGAGCTTTCTCTCCTGGTACCTCAGTCTGCCTGCCAATTTGGAAGCTAGGAAGCAGGGGGAGTATGAATGGTGGGATGGGGATGGTTTGCTTCCCACTCCTGCACTCCTAAATCCTTGCAGATGTCAGGAGATGGTCTGCACTCCTAAATCCTTGCTGATGTCAGGTGAGAGCTCCTTGTGGTCTGTGTCCCTTCCACTGGATGACCCTTCCAAGAATTTCTCCAGTCTCCTGCTGGCCTCGAGTGAAGCCCTGCATTCACCAATCTTCTGCCCTTGCCCTGCTGGTACCAGTGTCAGCTGAAGGGCAGCTAAGCCCCACAGCTCTCTCCTTGGCATCAGCCTCTGCCACCATCCATGCTCTCTCCCCACTCTTTTTCGCTCCGAACACATCCTGGGCCAGCATGCAGCACTGCTCCATGCTGTGGCAGAGGACAGGGATGATGCAGTTCCCTCTCCTAATGCATCCCCATGCACCGGTGCCGCTGCCAGCAGCCGCCGCAGGAGCAGCGTGGGGCTGTGCTGGCGCTGCCGGCTAATGATCAAATCAGCTGGTGGCCAAAGTACAATTACGAGTCGTGGCTGGGAGCTGCTCCCTTCCAAGCGAGCTAATTGAAAATACACGGAGGCCATTATTTGTAATTAGGAGGTAGCTGCTGTTCGGCAGGGATGTGCTCACCCCGACACCCTCCAGCTGGCCCTGGATGGATGGGGGGAGCGTGGGGCGAGGTCTGGTGAGCCAGCTGGAGAGCCCCACTCCTGCCTCTCCAGCTGCTTCCTCGGTGGCTCTCTTAGATTCTCAACGGGTTCCAAGGAAACAGGGAGACTGGGGACGGAGCTGAGCTTCTGGGACAGAGCAAGGGTGGGGTTTGTGCTGGGGGAAGGCTGCCTCCCATTGTGATGAACTCCCTGCTCCCTGCAGCCTCCCCGGCTGAGCCCATCACGTGCTCGGGAAGGTGCAAGGTCCAGCGGGGCAGGGATCGCGGAGCCGAGGGCTGGCAGCCGGCTGCGGAATGAAGCGCCTGCTCTCCCTGCTGGGCATCCTGCAGCTCCTGGGTGAGTACGGCCAGGGCCCTGCCTTGGGGAGCAGGGGTGACCGCTGGGCGAGCTCCGCGTTTCGCATGTGCTCCAGCAGCCCTGGAGCAGAGCTGCGGGCTCTGTCACTCCCAGTGTACCGGACTGGCAGACGGGAGAAGGCATTTCCAGCCGGACATGGGGAAGGCAGGCAGGCACCGAGGCTGGACAGCCGTGCGGAGCCTGCTGAGCCTCTCATTTGAAGTCAGCAGCGCTGCGCTGCAGGACACGCTCCCTGTTGAATATGCATGTAGCTTTGGTGTTCAAGGACTGCGCTTCCCGGGAGACAGGGCCGATTAAACAGCACACTGATACTTCCAGGGCTGGGGAAGGTGCAGGAATGCCGGGGGCAAAGGGATTAACCTGCGGCCGGGGGAGCCGTGCCCAGGGTGGGCCCGCTGTGAGCCCGCTCGGCCTACGGGCCCTGAGGCTTCGTGCCATGGGGCCGGCCGAGCCTTGCGGCTGCAGCTCCGGCCTCTCCATTCCCCACCTTCCCAGCGGCAGAGACACGAGGGAACCGCAGCAAGGACGGAACAACTTGCCATTGCTGTCTGGGGGCTTTTTTTCCTTCTTAAGCTCTTTTCTGCTCTGAGCTAGGAAGGTGTTTATGCCCACAACACTGCGAGCAGCAGCCTGGTTGCGGTTCTTACCGCCGGTAATGTTTTTTTCCCTCTCGGAGGGTTTTACAGAGTGCACGGGTGTGTTCGCCCTGCCTGAGGGCTCCCTCAGGCACCGCAGCCCGGCGTGAGGCAGGAGCCCCTCCGCGGTTGCACCTGGGCTCCAGGACTTTCATTCTGGTTAAAAATACATGGTTTCCTGTTCATCTGGAGACGGCTACTACAGCCAGCGGTCTCGGCAGAGCCCCTGGCAGAGTAAACAGCGCAAATTGCACCTCACGGTGATCCCTGTGTGCTGATAGAGCCTTTGCAGGCTCATCGCACCCATCGCTCGGAGGAGCCGGGCCCGGGCTTTGTGCAGCGCTGCAGTCACTGAGAGCCCCTCCCGCCCCGGGCTGGGCCCGCGTTCCCCCTGCAGGGCCCCAGCCCTTCCACCACGGGCTTTCTACATACTTTGTAATTTTGTGGGTCTTTCTCCTACAGAAAAGATGATCCATTAAAATTACAAAAGTAGGAGGGTTTTTGGTAATTTTCTCTTCTGTGTCTCATACTCGCTTGCCTGAAGCCATTTAATTCAGGCTGGTGGAGGTTCATTCATCTTCAGCTGAACATGCATCCCCCAGCCAAGCCTGGGCAATGTCAGGTCGGGAGGCTGCTCTGCTGTGCTGGTGCAAACAGAGAGGTCAGAGTGAAACCCCCTCTGCCATGTCCTGTCCCTGCCCAGCAGGCTCATCCCTGTGGGGCCCCAAGGGCAGAACTGCCACTGTCCCAGGAAACCCCAAGGGAAAGAACCCTGTTTCCCAACATGTTTATTTCTCAGGCTGAAGTACACCACTGAATCCTCCCTCTCCAGCTCCAAACACATGAAACCAGCCTGTACTTGTGCTACATGTCCCACAGCCAATGCCCTTTCTTCTCTTGCCCTGTCATAGTGGTATCACAGCTCTGCATGCCCACTCTGTACCTTCTGGAAAACAAAGGCTGAGCAATTTTTGCTTGTTTAATTAGTCTGAGTGACAACTAAATCCCCTGCGAGGATTGCTTAACTACCAGGTGTATGCTATTCTTACCTTTTGCCTGCAGGACACTTTCCTGCCTTCTGTCTGCTTGCTGAGCATTTGTCCCTTGCTTCTCTTCCTGTCTGAGTGGCTAAAACCATCACCCAGCCAAAAAAAATCCCCTCTGTAGAGAAGGGCTGTGACTGCTCAGCCTGGACAATGCAGGAGCTGCTCTTGGGTAGAAAATCCCCAAATCTGACCTATAAATGCCAAGCCAACCTAAAGCACATCCCAGAGCAGGCTCCCAGTGCCTCTCGTGGACTGGGTTAAACTGGTTTTTCTGTTCCCTCCCAGCTGCTACCGCTGCCGTGTACAAGCAGTGGATCCCCAACACCAATTTCGAAACCGCCTCCAACTGGGATAAAGGCAGAGTCCCCTGTGCCAGGGATGTGGTTCACTTTGAGAAGGACAAGGTATAGACATTTTAAATTTATTTTATTTTTGCTGTCACACAACACTGTCAGGCATTGGAAAAGCCCCTTTACCTGCCAGGGCAAAGCACACTTCACTCTTGCTTTTCTTGCAGGTTGTCTCAGTCTTCGTCGGGTCTCCCCACGCGCTGACAGACATGGTAAGGCATGGTGGGCAGAGGTGCACGAGGGTGGGTGAGGGCAGGGGCAGCCCTGGAGCTCTGCCTGGTGGCACATTCTCCTGTCCCCCTCTCCACAGAATGATAAAATGGTTTGGCTTGGAAGGGGCCTTGAAGGTGATCAGTCCCGACCCCCTGCCATGGACAGGGACACCTTCCAGCAGACCAGGTTGCTCAAAGTCCTGTCCAACCCAGCCCTGAACACTTACAGGGATGGGCATTCACAGCTTCTCTGGGCAACCTGTGCCAGTGTCTCATCACCCTCACAGTAAAGAATTTCTTCCTAATATCTAATGTCCTACTGTCCTCTGTCAGTTTAATGTCATTCCATGGACTTTGACACTTTCTTCCATGATCCAGCCAGACCAAGGATGCCTCAGCTGGGTAAAGTAACAGGAGTCCTCCAGTAGCCTGGGTTTCTCTGTACCATGGAACCAAAAAGCTCATTTCTGCTTGTTTTGGTTGGTTGGTTTTGTTTTGTTGTTTATTTGTTTGCTTGTTGCTTGTTTGTTTTTATTTGGGGGAAATGAGAGAAAGTACAGCAAAATCCAATTTCATTTTAAAGAAATTGATTTTTTCTTCTCAAAGGAGGGATAAACCCCCTCCATGTGATGGAGAGCTTAGCAGTATTTGGCTGAGGAGCACCAACTCACAGCACTGTTGACAGAGCAGGCACTAGCCCTGGGCAGAAGCTAAGTGAAGCTGACATCAAAATATCTTGAAATGAAAACAAACTGTTCTGGGAAATCCCAAAATGTTGCTTGAGAAATTTTCTTTCAAGTGCCATTGGGTTTTGTATTTTTCTGTGGTATGATTAGTCTAGCTGTGGCAGCATGGCCACAACACCCTGCTGAAATGTGTGTGTTGGATGATACAAGATTGGAGGGGGATCAACTCAGAGGGGGTTTCTGAGCAACCTGGTTTTGTCCCACCTGAGGAACTTTGCCCCAGAGCAGGCTGACAGGCACCCATGGAAACATGGGCCCTCAATCTCTGTGGCTTGGAGGGTAAAATTTAACAGGGAGGAATTAAAGGGAAAAGCAAACTCATTGTCCCAGCCTGCCAGTGGGGGATGGGTCACCAGTGAGCCCTCTCCCAGTGCTGGGACAGGACGAGATGGGCTGGATCCTGTTTGGAAAACCTTCTCCTCCAGACCTGATGAGCTTGTGGATGAGATTCCTCTCTTGGTTTTAGGGCAGCTTTGCTGTTTTATTGGCCATTGAATTTGAAGAAGCCCTTGAAATTTATGTGGTGTAATTTGTTCAGGCTGTCTACGCCACTAATAGTTTTGATGCTTTGATAACGCCATGTGCCATGTTTAATCCCTCTACAAATATTTGGAAAAGATACTTTATTTATATGGCATTTTAAATATGAATTTTTGAAGGAAAGAATGTACTGGGGAAATACGTACAAATATAATGTAATAAATGATGTGGAATTTACCCAGAGAAGAAAAGAGCAAAATACCACTCCAGTAGATTTTATTTTACTTACAGATGAATGTATAATATTTCTAAAGTACTTTCATCAGAGGCCTGCAAAGTGCATAATTGCAGAGCAGCGTCATTCATTACGGCTGAGCCTCCTGCAGCCAAGCTGGAGAGCAGAGCTGAGCAGCCTGGGGAGAGGGAGATCCACACAACCTTTGCACAGCACAAACCAACACCCATGGCCCTGCCCCCTGCTCGGGAGGATGGCTCCTGTTGCCACTGAGGGATGGCTCAGGGTGCCCCAGTGACTCCTGGCTCGTCCCTGTCAGAGGATCCAGAGTGCTGGCAGCAGCCCCTGGGGACCCTCGGTGCCTTGGGGTTTCTCTGGGCCCGTGCTGCTGGCAGGCAGCTGCACAGGCTCCAGGGTTACAGCGAATTTTGTGCAGATGGGGAGGGATCCATGATCCATGAATGCAGCATCACATGGGCTGTGAGGGCACCATCCTCCTCCTGCACTGAATTGCACTGCAGGTGAGCAGCCAGCCCTGCCTGTAACCTGTACTGCAGCTCACACCTTCCTTCTGAGCATCACTGCCCCAGCCATTCCCTGTGAACTGTCCCAGCATGTCTCTTAGTGAGGTAGTTAATATTTCTTTGTAATTTCAGCTCAGGCACTTCCCTCCTGCTCACTGCTGTGCTCTGCTGTCACCAGGTGACACAGGGACTGCCAAGGTTAGGGATGAAAAAGGGATGAAACCCACCACCTGAGCCAGGCTGCCACTCATGCAAATGGCATGAAATTTGGCAACCAGCTGGTTAGAAAATGAATTGGTCATGAGGATTTTTGCAGGGAGGCTGGGCTGCACCTGTTCGGCTGCCAGCCACACGCGCTGGAGCATTAATCACTTAAATCAGCAAGAATACATTAAGCTTTAGAGTCACCATGGAGATGCTATACAGCCTTTGGCCAAAAAAAAAAAAAAAACCAAAAAAGGCATAATGTTGTTTGCTGTAGTACCATAGAAGAAAATTCATGGCTGAGGAGGGATTAGGCTCTCAGTGACTTTCATGAAGATAATTGCCTGCTGTGGCACGTGTAGGGGGGGATGCTTGGTACTGGTGGTGGAGGTACAGCATGAGATCTCCCATCCCAACTCCCCAGCTGAGTTTAGTGCCAGGCAGTCCTCATGTGTCACCATTGCTCCTCTCCTGGACATTTGTATGAAAGCTCACTTCTGTATGGTGAGCTCTCCAGCTCCCCTCCCCATCCATCCCATGTGGGCACCAGCCAAGTGCTGGGAGATGCTTTCTTGGGAGGAGGCTGTTGGGGCACAGAGCCTGCCTCCCTGCTCAGAGCTCACCCACTGAGCACCCAGCTCAGCAGTTATTTGAAGTTTCAGATGCATCCCTAATTCAGTCACACATTAAATCCAAATCCAGCTTAAAGCGTAAGTGGCTTTGATGCACAACCGTTGTGATTAGGCTGGATTTTCTATGGTGTTTAGCTGCCTAAAGATGCAGATCAGTATTTAGCCAGCTTTTGGAGGTGCCTGAGACTAAGTGTGCAGGAAAGATGGAAATGGAGGTGATGGTGCCTGGTATGGGTGCTCTAGGGCAAGGCAGAATTTGGCTTTGTTTGTTTCCTGATGGGGGAGAAAGACTCCTGAGAGGGAGAGGACCCTCTGGCTTTGTCTGTGCTTCCAAAGGCAGCCAGGCCAGGGCATGGCTGTGGCAGTGAGCCTGGTGTTTGCCCCAGCCCTGGTGCAGTTTGTGCTTGAGCTGGGCAGCACTGACATGTGGGCCAGGGATGGATGCTGCTGCTTCTGTTTTTGGAGTGGCAGGAGTCGGGTTTATTCACATGGGCCGAGCAGCCTTGCTCGACCCCAGGGTCAGGACCCTGGCTGGGGTTCCTCAGCAGCCCTGGCATCACCTTTCCAGCTCTGCCCCATCCCTGAGCTCTGCTGTGGGGCAGCATCTGTGTGTACCCCCTCCCTGCCTGCCCCACGAGGGGCTGCAGGGCTGGGCAAGGGTTCGGAGTGGCACTGGGGTCTGACCAGGGACACCTCCCCCAGCCTTATATTTTTAGCTGCCTAATTGTGAGAGCAGAATGTACTTGGCTTTGCTGCAGGATGCTCCTGCTCGGTTCCTGGCAGAGATTGATCTCAAAATGCCAATTGCTCTCCAGGGGCACCGGCTCTAATGAATTGCCACAGTTCGTGCTAGTCCCAGGCACCGGTGCTCCCTCCCCCACCTCTTCCCAGACAGCAGGGTAATGAGACAACCAGAAAAGGGATTATTTTTCCTTCCCCTAAGATGAAGATAAAAAATTTCAGGGGACTGTGTGCCAGCACATAATTCCAAGATGGAATCCTGCAGTCTTTTCTGTGTCAGCGTTTGCAATGAAGGTGCATGCAGGAAAGGAGTTTGGTAAAGCAGCCATTTACACTCATCTCCCTGAGTCTATTTGCTCATTTCAGGCTGGTTTCCAGCAGGAGGAGTTACTAAAGTCTGATGAGCAGAGCAGCTTGCCAACATCCTGGGCTTGCAGCGGATGTTAGAGCCTGTCTGGCTGGAAAGCTGCTCCATGGACTGTCTGCCATCACTTTTCTGCTGGGCATGGCCTCTCTGCCCACACCTCAAGCCTCTTCCTGGCTTTCTCTGACCTTGTCTGTAGAGGAAAGTTCAGGAAAAGGAGCTTAACTAATCTGAAATAGATTTGTCAAATGGCTTTAAGCCTCTCTTGTGTCTCTGCATCCAGAGCTCAATGTCTTCAGCTACCCAAGGGTCTTCCCATGTCCCTGTGACACCTGATTTTTGTATGCTGTCAGGACCTGTTCAGCTAGAAGCCTGTACTGGCCATCTGCAATCAAGTTAATGGGCTTTTTGGGTCTATTGTTTGTTTTTTGTCTTCCCATGGCTTTCACTGGGGAGGTTTGGCAGGGGCTGTACCAGGCAGCACCCGTGTGGCATGGCCAGGAGCTGTGGCTTCTCTGTAGGGACTGGCAGGACCATGATGTGTTGGGAGCCTGATGTGTCAGGCCAGCCCTGTGCCAGGGGATGTGGTGGCAAGGCCAGGTTGGGCAGGTGCTGTGGGGAGCTCGTGTGCTGAAACACACCGTGAAACGTGATGAGCACACCCAGCAGGGGAGCCGGCTCCGGCGTTAATGACAGCGCGGCTGTGCTGCTGCTGCTGGGCAGGGAGAGCAGCCAAGCACCTCGTTAGCTTGCAGGGGATGACACTGAAATGATGATATCCCCTGGCACGCCGTGCCTGTGCCTGTGCTCCTGCCTGCTCTGGGTCAGAAGCAGAGGGGTGGGCTGTTGCTGGGGTCAGAGCCGGGCTGTGGGCATCCCCCACCACTGCTGGTGGGGCCCATGGACAGCAGCACCAGCCTCCGTGCCCCAGGTGTGCTGCACCAGCCTGCAGGAGCATGGGGATACAGGCTGCAGTTCTGGCCTGGTTTCCTTGGAAAGGTAAAGCCCCATTCCTCATGGGATCATGTGCCTGGGCAGGGAGGTCTTTGGGCAGCAAGGTGCTACTCCAGCAGCAGGGATCCTCTCACTGAGGTCTTGGGGTGGCAGGAGGTCACCCTGCCTTGCTGGGGACCTGGACTAGCTGCTGTGGGATTGAGGGCTGTGGCAGGAGCAGGCTGGCTCTGGCAGCAAACTGGGGGTGTGGGGTGGCGTGTGTGGCTGAGGGGAAGGACACTGTCCTGAGGGAGCCAGTGAAAGCTTCACCTGGACAAGAGGGTGAATGAATGAAGCGTCAGTAATGAACCCAAGAAATGCTGGGCTGCAAGCAAGCCCCTGGCAATGCTCCAGCGGTGTCTGAGGAATTCACCTGTGGGTGATCCTGGCCCTGTGCCATTCTGGGGTGTCAGCCAGCAGCTGGATATCACCCAGGCACCAGCTGTACTGAGACCCCCAGCCCCAGCAGACACTGGGAAAATCCCTGCTGTTCCCACCTGGGGCAGAATGGGCAGGGCCCACCCATCTGCTGCCCCGGCTGCCTGCTGCTGCCACTGCCCCAGCGGGGCTGTACTGGGAAAGATGAAATGGAAATTTCCCTTGTGCATTATTGCTTGTGATGGGTTACACCAGTCTGTGTTGGAGAGATAGCCCACCTGCATCCTATCCCAGTGATGTTTTCCAATGGAGAGACAGCAACACCAGGGCCAAAGCTGCTCCTGGGCTGGGTGCCAGGCAAGGGGATGTAGCTGGGGGCTGATGGCTGCTGACCTGCCGGCTGGTGCAGCTGTGGAGGCAGCACTGTGGAGCTCAGTGTGCCCAGGCAGTCTTAGTGTTGAGTGATGGGGATGGTGGCACCATCCCATCCAAGCAAGGAATTCAAATGCACTGATGTTGCAAATAAAAGCGAGGCTGGGGAAAGACCTGGCTACAGTCACCAGTGTTGTTCACTCAGGTTAAAGCACAAGTGTGAATTATGCCTGGTCTGATGATGGTGACATGCCAGTCACAGTGCTCCTGTCAATCATCTCAGCCCAATGCTTGGGACTCAAGAATCTGCCAGAGGCTGGTTCCAGTCAGAGGCCACCTGATTGGAAAGCCATCTCTCAGGACTTTGCTGGTTTTTATTTCACATTTTGGAGGCTAGTTTCTTTTTCCCTTATGCACTGGGGGAGCAGATTTCTTCTGGTAGTGCAATGCTGGGGCTGGTCCAAGAGCCACATAGGGTCTTTCCTCTTATTTTATTGTTTTTCCCCCCTGGCTTTGATAAGAAAAATGACTGTGTTTTGGTTGTCATTACACTTGATAATGATAACTGAGGAGATAAGTGATTTACCTGTATCAGGGATGGAAAATGACTAATGGGACTCTAAACACTCACTATATTAATGGCCCTGGAGTACATGTTGGCAGGAGGAAGGGAAAGCAGATGAAACTTCCATCTTTTGGCTTTGGTCCACTGGTACCTGTCATTGCTCGGTTCAAAATGTACTTGGAAAGTGGCCCAACCTCCATGCAATTTCCATACTAAATTCCCAAAGGTAGAAAACCACTGCCCAACCAGAGTCTCTGTTTGTCCTCTGCAGCGAGCTGAGATGCTTAACTTATGTTAGGATAAAAGAAAGGGAAATTATTTACAAAGATCCACTGGGTGATGGAGACTCTCCTGAAACCTGATTTTCCCAGTGGTGAGAATCTCAGGCAGGGCTGGTGGTGGATATGCAGCACAGTGGGCAGGGAGCCACAGCTGCAGGGCCCAGCCCCAGACATTCCTGTGACGAAGCAGAAGTGCAGAGCTCTTCCTGAGCTTGATGTCTGTGGAGATGAGGTGACTCTGTGCCCTGTCTTGCAATGTGTTGTGTTGCATTCTAATTCCAGGGCCGGTGCTCGCAGTGTTTGGGTAATCCCAAGGTGTGAAGGGACATGGTGTGTGCTCACTCTCATTTCCCTGCCACACTGACTCCCACATGAGCAGCTTCCTCTGGAAGGCCAGCCAGCCTGGGAGTTTGGCCTCAGCAGTGGAGGGGGATCTCCTGTGGTGGCTGGAGAAGCTGCATCTTGTCTAGAGAGCTCAGAGGCCAATGTCTCCAGAGCACAGGTGCTGCAGGCATGGGGCAGATTTGGCATTAGACATTTCTCACATTTCTCCCAGCTCTCCTCTTGAGTAGAACTGGTGCTATGTCCTGCTGGCCCATCCAGACCTGCTTGCCCTCCCAAGCATGTGCAGGGTGCCCAGAGCTGACTGCTGTGAAGATCTGGTACCCTGTGCTGGTGAAAGGATCTGCTGCATCCCATCCAAAGGGCCAGGCTGGGCAGCTCAGATGGCCCCAGCAGCCAGCTGGCCCCCCTTCCTGCCTGGCCCTGCTGTGCATAGCTGGCTGCAGGGGCCAGGGGCTGCAATGGCTCAGCCAGCCTGGAAGAAGGGACTGGGCTGGCAGTGCTGCTTGCACTGGCCTGTGGATGGGTGGCAGCTGACTGCTCCTAATGTCCCATCACCCACTCCTGCCTGAGCTCACAGGAAAACAAGCCAGGGCACTTGAACTGAAGTACAGCATTTTGTGGTTGAAGTTGGTAGCATTGCCCTCACCCAGCTGAATGCAGGCCAAGTCCTGAGTCTCCAAACAGACTTGTTTTGATGGGTTTTTCATCTGCAGCTAAAGGACATTATGCCTTTTGTATCCTGGCAGACCTTTCAGCCTTTTTCAGTGCTTTGGTATTGGACAAATTTCCTTACTCAAAAGTAATAGAAATTCAGAGAACCTGATGGCAGGACACAAGCTGTGGTCTGATGGAGCAGTGTCCATAGGCACAGGCTTCTTCCTGGCTGGGGGGAGGAATGCACACCCTTGGGGCACATGTTGCCCCAGCCTCATTTACTCCCAGTGTCATCCCCTGTTGTCCAGCCCAATGTATGGCAGATGGTGCAGAGGAGCACTGTGAGACTTGTCTTGGTGACAGCCACCCTCTGCTCTCTATCCTGGCTTCTCAAGGTTCCTGAGCCAGGAGAGAGGCACCAGGGCAAGGCTTTCAAAGCACTGCACCAACAAGGCACTCAACTTCTTAACAGGTGCCCACCTAGAGTTTGGGGGTGATGAGCTTTTTGCCTTGTCCACCTCCCCCATCCCTTCCTCATGGTGGCCTCTGAGTGGGACTGAGCATCTTCAGGCAGGACTGGCCAGGGACAGAGAGCTGTCATGGCCACCATGCAGCAGTCAGTCATAACTCTTGCTTTCTCTAACCTACATACATATTTAAAGACCAGTTAAGTAGATGAAACCTTAAAATCCCATTTAACTTTTTCTGCCTGAGCACAGGACCCTGTATGTTGGCATAACTCAGTCCTGGAGGGCTTTCAGCTGCTGTTGGGAGTGATGCTAAAACACTGGATAGACCAAATTGGAGAAGGATGACTTGAGCATCACTGACTCTCAAATATTGGAAGAAACCATGACTTTCTCTCTGCAATTTCTAAATGTAAAATAAGATGGGCTGGGCTGAATAACCTGTCTGCTGTGGATGAGTTGCCTGAGTCAATAATTTGTCAGGGCCTGTCCCAGAGTTAGCAGTGCTGGCTGGTGACCCAGGTGGCCACAGTTTCTTGCTGGAAAGGTTCCCATAGCAGAGCTGTGCCTGTTGAGGTTTGTCAATGGGTGGGCCCTGCAGGCTGAGGCCAGGTCAGTGCTGTGACCCTGACTACAGCTGGTGATGTCCTGCCCAGCAAGAAGAGAGTCTGGCTGTGGCAAGCTGCTCCCAATGCCACTGTGCATTTCCCTTAGCTTGTGCTCAGTGCAAATTCACTACCTGACACTGTACCAAGCATAGCCTGGGCCCCTGATTTATATTTTGTGGGGCAAGCACAGCCCTTGGAGGGGGGAACCCATTAAGTGAGGGGGCCTCTGGCCCTTGCAGAGTAGGGTTGGGTTTTTCTTGAGCTGCTGCGAGTGTGTACAAGAGGAGGAAGAAACAGTCAAAGAGCTTATTTTGCTTTTTCCTGTTCTTGCTCCTCTGAATGCTTTTCTGTGTTATGGAGGATAATGTCACACTGCCTCTCCCCATTACAGGATGCTCATCCATAAAACCAGGAGCTGATACTTTCCCAGGTACATGGGGCACGGTAAGGGTAACTCCTGATAACTGTGAAGTGCCTTGGAGACTGTAATAGGCAGCCTAACAATTAGGAGTGTTATTTGGTAACAAGCCTGGGTGGCTGGCAGCAGGACAGTAACACTGTGCATCCTTCATCTAGTACCTGCCCCTGAATGGAGAGTTCCTGCTGGCAGCTGGTGCAGCCTTCACAGCTTTCGATGGCAGCTGGGATCCAGGCTGTGACTCAGGTATTCTGTGCCCAAACCAGGCACCCATCAGGCTGTAATGAGTCGTGTAAATCCAGCCCAAATACCTCTACAAAGGTCCCACCTCAGGGCAAAGTGAATCACTCCTCTTCAATACTTACCTTTTCTTTGATGACCTCCCTCACATCAGATCTTTTTCTCCTCCTAGATCACCTGTCTTCTGAAAAGGTAATTATAGTAGGGAAGCCTTTGAAGTTGTAGCAGAGAGGCAAATATTGTTTGTATTTTCCCCTGCCTATTAAGCATGTAGCCACATCAAAGCCCTTATTTTCTCTGCCATGGTGTTTCTAAAGAAAACCAGTTAGGAGTTACACACTGGTGATCCAAACCATGGCCACCACAACAAACTGGCCTTTGGCCCCACACACACATCCTCCCCTCCCCCAGCCCATGGCTGAGACAGCAGCTTTGTGTCATAGCTGCCTGCTTTTATCTGAAAGCTGTTTTCTAGGGAGGTGTATTTTGGGTGCTTAAGAACTGCCCCATGCTTTCAGTGGCAAGTAACTTTTTAGTTCCTCTACAGGGAAGGAAGTATTCAAGCAGAGCATCTGTGCCTGCACTCTGAATGGAATAAAAAAAAGGGAAAAAAGAGAGAAAAAGTCTAAATTAGTCTCCCCAGAAGAAGGATTGTATCTTAAGACGTCTGGAACCACTCTGAAATCCTTTATCCCTATAATTTTATTTGTTTTGGGGCTCTTTGCCCCCCAGCAGGGATGCTCTAGCATCTGTGCTTGGCACTGGGCTTTTCCTGCTGACCATGCACTGCTCCCCTGAAATCAGCTGCCGTTTCTGGGACAGCTTTCACAAATGGACTTCTCTAAAGTATGATTTCAAATTGAATGCAAATAATTCAGTCACTAAATACCTGCATGCTGGCTGAATTGATAAAGGTTCAGCTGCTGGGAAGGGAGAGAAGGAATCAGGGCATTGCATGATAAGACTAACCAGCAGGGAGATGGTTAATGGTTAAATAATTGATAGTTAAATTGAGCACTGGCTTTGGGGTTACCTGCTGCAGGGAATAGTGCCTGTCATATTTCTGCAGGCTGCCAGGCTGCTGGGAAACTGGGACATGAATTATCATACCCATTTTTATCAGATTTAGCTGTTACTCAGCATTCAGGCAGATGTTTTCCTCCTTAACATCCTCCTTAAGGATGAGCTTTAAAAAATGGGGGAAAAATATCCTGTGGGATCTGGGCCTGGAAGCCTGCAGGCAGATGTGGGATTTGGGCTGAGACCCCAGCCCTGAGTTCTGGGAAGCTTTGCCAAGCTCTGGGAAATGCCTGCAGTGAGTGCCCATGAGGGGGATGCCAGGGCCAGCCCTTGGCTCCCTGCCCGCAGGGTGAGATCCTTCACTTCAGGTGAAGGTTTTACCAGCCCAGATGCATCTGCTGGGGCTTTGGATTTGGGCTGGGGTCATGCTCAGCCTTTTCTGTCCCTTTTCCAGGTGGAACAGTGAGGTTTGCTGATGCTGAGCAGCGCTCGTGGTTCGACCCCACGCTGTGGCGGGATGTCCTCCCCAGCGGCGAGCTCAGGCCCGGCGGGCCCATCTTCTCGGTGCATGAGGAGCGCGTCCCGTGCCGCCACGACGATGTTATCTTCCAGCCCGAAACCTCCTTCCGGGTAAACACCGACTCAGCGCAGCCCGTGATTCAGCTCCGCAGCATCTCTATCATGGGCCAGGTGAGGCGGGGAGGAAGAGAAACTGGCTCGGCACCTTCTCAGCACGGCCCCGAGAGGGGGAGCAGTGCTGCAAGGGGAGATGGGCACACCCGCGGGGCTGCAGCTCCATGAGCTGCTGCTGCTGCTGTGGATGGCCTCCATGGCTTTTTGCATCAAGCACTTTGTTATCGGCTCCCTCCCCGCAGTGTGGGAGTGTGGCTGTCTCGCTATGAATGTTTAAAAAGGGCCAATATGCACGGGTCAAACCATCAGCAAATGGCAGCTTCTGCGGCTCCCAGGAGTCGCTCCCTTCCCAGGCACGTGTCTGCAGCCGTGCTGCTCAGGAACCCTTTGGGGACACCTCCCTCCTGTCCCTGACCTTAACATGGCCTGTGGCCCAGTGATCGTGTCCCAGCTTTGCTTCAGCACTGCTCTTTAATTGATTGGAGGGATAATTATAGTAGCACTGGCAGGCTGCTGTGCCTCAGCCCAGGAATCAGGCTCCCCACGAGCCCTGTCCCTCCTGGTCGGAGGAGCAGAAGATCACAGGCGCTGCAGCAGTAAACACAGGCTCCTTCCAGGAGTGGGAGATGCGGCAGGCGTTTCATAAGTTATTTATTATTTCTGCTGCTGTGCTGGCTGGGATCTGCCATTTCAGGGCCAGGCATTAGGTAGCTGCTTTTTGAGTAATAGACTCAGTCAGTGCCCAGGCGGGTGCGGGCGAGTCTGAACAAGGCAGCGCCCCAGCGGAACTCACCCCAGGCCCACAGAGCCCCAGGGATGCAGAGGTGGATGCTCTTGGGTGCTCAGAGTGATGCTGGTCCTGCTGATGCTTCAGACTACCCCACAGCACGTCATCCCACCCAGGGACCACTGCTGGCTGTCCCTCAGGGCTGGGGCTGCTGCTGAGCGATGAGATGGAAGGAGAAGGTGCTTTTTATGATCATAGCATATTTCCTGAGAACTGACCTTATGAGCTTCTCTATCCCTTTGTAGCCAGCCTACTCTGTGCTCTGTGATGACTATTTTCACCCCAGGGCCTGAGAAATCTACCTGTTGTGCCAGAGCATGGAGACACTTCCTGTGGAAGAGAGTGGGTGAGAGAATCACCGGTGACTTGGCAGGATGAGGCTGGTTAGTCCAGCTCAGCCTTTGCTAATGCCACGCACATAGAAATTCTTCCCCAGATAGAAGGAAAACAGCTCAGACCCAGCCCCCTTCCTCCCAGTAGTGAAAAGCTGGTAACTTGAATTCTCTGAGCCAGCAGAAAGGTGGAAAGCAAAAAAAAAGAGAAGGCCTAGCCATCTCAGTGTCATTGTTTTTGGTTTGAGAGAGTTTTTCTGTTGGTCCAGGGGAAAAGATGGAATGGGTGCATTGGCAGAGTTTTCGTGCTGCATCACTGCCTGCACTGGGGCTTCCCAGTGGTGGCCATCAGATGTGACACCAGGTGTCCCAGCAGCAGGGCTGGGTGCCTGGGGCCAGCACTGGGACCTGTCCTGGCATACTCACCTGCTTTGCTGCTCTTCCCTGCACAGGAGCTGAACACCCCATCATCCTGGGCTGGGTACCTGGGGGGCCCCTCTGCCCCGCTGCAGTTTCATGGCAATGGCACTCTCCAGGTGACAGGCACTGGCTGTCCTGATAAATCTGGCTGTGCCTGTGGGAACGCCCTGGTGAGTCTTCCCTTTCCCATTTTGGGGTTCCCATGCAGTTTGTGGGGCCAGGACTGACGGTGCCCTGCTCTCCTTTAGGATGGCCCCCGCATCTGCGCAGCCCTGCTCAGGGCACCAGGGAGGCAGTGCCCAGAGCCAGCGTGCCAGAGCCCTCTGCAGCCCCTTGGCCACTGCTGTGGGGTCTGTGGTGAGTGGGGAACACGGCCCTATTCCTCCTCCCTGCCATGCCTGCTGCCCCAGCCTGCTTCCCCTGGCTCCATGGGGGGAAGTTGGGTGCAGGGGGTGCTTGCTGCTGGTTGTAAGCTGGAGTTTTGGTGTATGACTGCTGCCAAGGGTCCCATCTGTGGGTCCCATGTGCAGATGCCATTGTGCCACCTTCCAGCACATCTTTCTGAAGAGATCCTGGCTTTTGGGAGCTTGTTCTCAGTCGCAGCCCTTTGTCCCTGCTTCTGGTTTATCCTGTCAGGATGTCACAGCTCGTCAAGCTAATAGGGCTCTGCTGAGTTTATGCAGCTGAAAACACACAGAGGAAATGCAGCCTTTTCCACTGTAATGTCAGCTCCCCAACAGCCAGCTTGTTTAATTTTATTTAAAATAAAAGCATGCAGATTGACAGCATTCTCTCTGCAATGGGTGCTCCTCTAGTAATCTGCATGAAATGTTGCTAGGGGCAATTTTTCATGCACAACTGTACCTGGGTACTTGGCATCCAATATTTGGTATGTTCATACCAAATTCATTAAAATGGCACCATATGTTTCTCCCGTGTGCTCTTAAAAGCATAGTTCCTTACAGTCTTTAGGACAATTTAAAATTTCAGCAAATGCTTAATTTTATTTTTTCCCAGGAAAATATTTATACCCATGACTGCAGTGCAGTGGTGTGGAGAGCACAGGTATTCCCTCCTCTCAGCCTCACCCCCCCCAAGCCAGGATAGTGCTGCCCCATGCCCCAAAACCAGGGGCATGAGGAGCTTCCCAGAGGGATAAGTATGAGAAAACTTTCCAGGGAAAGCTTCTCTCCAGAATATAAAGTCAAAGGCCTTTCATCAAACCCAGCTGACAAAAAGACCAGTAGGGGAGGTATGTCCCTCAGCCCAGCCAGATCAGTTGCACAGGGTACCAGAGGGTCCCCAGTGCCTATCGTGGCAGTCAGAGCTGTGCTGCTGTGGCTGCTCTCTGCCCACCCGTGGTGAGTTTGATGTCTGTCTGTCTGTCTGTTTTCTGGCTGCAGGGGCCACCATTGACCTGGAGTTCACTCCCGATTTTGACCTGCAGAAGTACCAGGACAAATTGGTCCAAGAGTTGCTGAGCCAGGTACTGAGCCTGTCAGATTGGGAGGGGGTAATGAAACCACGAGCCACTGGCCACATCTGCAGGTGACGTGATGGCTGTGGGACTGTCTGGGGCATGTGGTCCCAGTGTGCAGTGCCAGGGGTGCAGCTCACTCCCCACCACCCTGCAGGGCCCACGCTCCCTGTGTGACCTCTTGGATGTGCCTGCTGTGGGAGCTGGCTCCTTGCTCCCCACCACAGCCCCACCAGCTGCCAAGCTCAGGGCGGGAAGAGCTGCTGGCTTGCAGTGGGGAAGGATGCAGGGGGCTTGCTGCTCTGGAAAACAGAGCAGAGCAGGGAGCTCAGCACACACAGCTGGGATGGGCAAACCTGCAGCAGGGCATTCCCTGGCACTGGCCAGCTCTCAGATGCTCTACAAAGCATCACTTCATGCTGCTGCTTGTCAGACACAACATGACATCCCTCCTCTTTGCCAGGGGCCGCTGGGGGAGGAGGTGTGCTCTGTGCTGCACTGGGAGGTTCGATACCAGGGTATTGCTCTATTGATCCTGAGCTGAAAGCTGTCTGCCTGCCCTCCTTACAGCCACACACCTTCATACAGCTTTTAATGGGTGTGATACATGAAATTGCTTTCTCAGCATGCTCTCCTCCATGGGGGCTCATTGTGTGCTGGGTGCTGGTCACAGCCTGGGAGAGAGGGGATGCACAGGCCTCTCCTTTGGGAAATGGCACTGCCGTGACAGGGATGGTGGCTCCGTGGTGGGGCTCACAGGAGGGTTCAGGTGGGCCTTGCAGCTGCACCCATCGTGGCTGTCTGGAGATGTGCCTGATGTGTGCCTGTCCTCTCTGTGGCTTTACTGTCTCCTTGTGTTTTGGGCAGCCCAGATACGCCGGTGTGCAGCTGGCCATGTCCAAGGTGCACAGAGCACAGACCTTCCTGGGCCTCGTGTCCCGCGGCACCGCTCCTCTCATCCAGATCGTGCTGATTGATGACAGAGCGGGAGCGCAGGCGGGCACCTCTGCCGAGCAGCTGGCAGCAGACATCATGCAGGACATAGCACAGCACGGTAACCCCCTGTCCTCCTCAGCAGGTCCCCTGCAGGGGCACCCAGACCCACTGCTGGCCAGAGCTTTGCATTCCCTGCCAGCAGCCCTCATGGCCAGTGGGGGATGAATGTCTCTAAGGAGGGAGATTCGGCAGCATCTCTCCACAGCCTGTCTCCACAACTGACCCTCTCTGCAGTAAACCAGTTTTTTATATATAAATACTTAGATGAATATAGGTATTTAAGTGGAATTTACCATATTCAGTATCTGTCCATTGCCTCTTGCCCTGCCACTGGGACCTGCTGAGAAGAGCCTGGCTCACCACAGCTCCAGCTGTGCTCAGCAGGGCAGGGCAGAGTGGAAGGGTCACCTCCCTTGCCCTGCTGGCAATTCTCTTCCTGCAGCCTGGGATAATGGTGTGCTTCCATGCCACGTCTGACCATGACCAGCTGGGTGCCTGCCAGGGCCCCCAGATTCCCTGTCTGCAGAGCTGCTCTGCAGCCAGAATGCTGCTTGTGGAGACAGGGAGGTAGACAGGAGACAGGTTGAGGTAGAAGACCTGGAGATCTTTGGACGCCACTTCTGCAGATGGCGTGAAGGCTGACAGATGCTGATGGGCACACAGGTCACAGCCAGGGGACCTGGTGGTCATTGTGTGGGTGGCAGACCCAGAGGGGCTTGTCCCCATTGAGTCCATCCACCTGTGAATCCCATCCCTGTTCCCAGGGAAGGACGATCAGCCAGGCAGGCAGGACCTGACCCAGCTGAAGGCTCCCTCTGCCATGGGTGTGGGGATGTGTTGCCCGGTACAATCCTCATCCCTGTTTCTTCCCAGGTGAAGCTCTCGGCATTTCAAGTGGCAAGATGGAAGTGGCCACTGGCAGCACTGCCACTGGGCAGGTGGGGAGCCCCCCAGTGAGCAGGATCGCAGCAGGGACGGTCATGGGGCTGCTCTTCAGTCTCCTGTTCCTTGGAGGGATTCTCTTTCTCTACAGAAAGGGAAAGCTGAGGTAAGGATGGGGCTTCTGCCAGCAGCAGATATTCAGGCTGCCTCTGTCTGGGAGCAGCTGCCAGCCCAGGCTGTCCTTCCAGCCTGGCACACAGGGCACACGGTGCTGCCCAGAGCTCCCATGGAGAGGGACATGGCCTGGCACCGTGCCACCTCCCATTACTGTTCCCACAACCACAACATGGTTTGGGTTGGAAGGACTCAAGGATCATCCACTTCCAACCCCCTGCCATAGCCAGGGACACCTTCCACCAGACCAGGTTTCTGAGAGCCCCAGCCAGCCTGGCCTTGAACACTTCCAGGGATGGAGCATCCACAGCTCTCTGGGCAGTCTGTGCCAGGGCCTCACTGCCCTCACAGTAAAGAGTTTGTTCCCAGTACCTAATCTAAACCTGCCCTGTGTCAGTTTAAAACCTGTCCTGGCTCCTCATGGTTTTCTGGAAGTGAGGTGGCTGAAAGGCACTTCTGTACTCTTGGGCTGTTGCTTCATTCTCCTCCATGACCAGGAGGAGCTGCCTCGTGGCAGGGTGCAGAGTGCTTGGGTGGGAGCAGGGCTGCTGCAGCTCGGCTGGAGCTCTGCACAGCCTTGTCATGGTGCCTGGTGACACCTCCTGAGCTCTGCACAGCCTAGTCATGGTGCCTGGTGACATCTTCTGTTCCTTGGCACCATTCGTTTGCAGCCCTGCTGGGGAGGGGAGGACTGAACCTGCCAGCAGCTCGATAGAAATGCATCAAAATAATGCAAAACACTTGTCCCACAGCTTCATAGCCGTTCCAAGAGCAAATGCAGCTTCTGGTGCATTGCTTGTTCACACAGCATGGAGTACAGAGTGCAGGTCCCAGGGCTGGGCTGGAGGGTGCACCTGACTGCACCACAGCTGGGAGCTCATCAGAAATACCCCTACACCATCACCATTTTCCCTCACAGCTTGGATATGGGGCCTGTCTGTGATTCCCAGCAGTGCCCACAGCAAGTGCTTGAGGCACCCACCTCTGCTCCTCCCACATGCACCCACCTTCTCCTGGAGGGTTTTGCAGGGTACCCAGCTGTGGGCAAGTGGGGTTGACATTGCACACTTGATAACCAGGGGCCAGGAATTGCTTAAATTTGCATGTGCAAAGTGCACCTGTGTCTGCCAGGGGGTGCTGAGCTCCCTTGTGCTGGGGCTGCTGTGTCACAGGCTCACAAGTCAGGTTGTTTGTTCCGTCCTGCCTCCTCCCCTGGGATTTTGTCACTCTGCAGCGGTGGCCCTGGCCAGGAACACTTGCCCTGCTGCTTGACACGTGCTGACAGGATATTTCCTAGCAGTAAACCCATGCCTTCATTTAATTTCTAAATAAAACTCCCAGACCCATAATTGCTACTTGATGATTTATCTTTCACTGATGCTTCTTTGGATGCTGGACAGGCCTTTGAACCAGCTCTGTCAGCAGCAGGAGGGAATTTTATGTAGGAGACAGAACTGAACACGAGCCCAGGGCCTGTCCCACTGGAGCTGCAGGTCCCCCTTGTTTCCACCAAAAGGGGCCTGGCAGAGCCTCTCTCAGAGCTCCTGAGATGATGTGCCTGGACCTGCTGCTGAGCCCACCTGCAGCAGCTGCCCAGTGCAGGGGAGTGCTCAGTGACTGGGACCCTTAGGATAAAAGTAATGAAGAAAATAATACAAGTAGTGATGGTGATAAAGATGAAAACATGATAATGTGATAAAAGCAATGATAAAAGTAATGATAAAAGTAATTAATACTTGTTGAGATTACAGTGGGAACAGGTTTCAGCTCTGTGGCAATTCATTTAGGCCACAGGGAAGGAGTGATTGCTCCAAAGTGAAGCCTGTGCTAGAGTTGTCTGCCTCTGCAAACTCCTCCCTCCAGAATGCAGGTCCCAGATCTCCAGGCTGAATGATTTCTGCTGGATACATCTGCTTTTCCCTGGGAAGGGTTACAAATACCCCATTTCAATAACAGCCTGACGTTTTGCCCATGTAGAATTTGCCATCCACCTCTTGGGGAGGCTGGGTTTCAGCTGGGGGAGCTGCAGGGCTGCAGGGCTGTGGGTGCTGATGGGAAGCTGCAGGGCTGTGGGTGCTGATGCCCAGCTGCAGGGCTGCAGGGGTGTGGGTGCTGATGGGGAGCTGCAGGGCTGCAGGGGTGTGGGTGCTGATGCCCAGGTGCAGGGCTGTGGGTGCTGATGGGGATCTGCAGGGCTGCAGGGCTGTGGGTGCTGATGCCCAGGTGCAGGGGTGGAGGGGTGTGGGTGCTGATGCCCAGCTCTGCCCAGGTTGCCTGCCCTGCGCCCGCAGCACCCCTGGGAGAGGATGGAGGAGCCGGCACCCCCTGCACCAGCCAGCGACAAAGGCTTTGACAACCCCGTGTTCAGCGTGGTGAGTCACCCTGCCGGGGTGCCTGGGGCATGGGCAGGAGCTGCTGGCTGCTGTGACACTCCTGAAACCCTCCTGGGGTTCCCTGAGAGGGGCCCTGCTTTCCCCGGGCCAGGAGGGGTTTGTGGGACATCCCTGTTCTCCCTGAGGCCACCGGCCTCTTGGCTGCTGCAGGGACTCAGCCCTGGGTGGGTTTTGCCCAAGGGTTTTGTTCCTCTTCCCCATCAGTTGTTTTTCCTCCCTTGCTGTTGCAGGAGCCTCCAGATGTTGACCTTGCAGAAGTGGCATCCAAAGATCTCCAGGTTTTCTACCTCAACCCTCTGTACAGTGCAAGCGAGACAGAGACCTGATGGTGTGGACTCACGCTGGGGGCAAACCCCACTCCCCTGGGGATATCACCACCTCTCCAGCCCTCACAGCCCCTCACATCACTCCTGGTGGGATTCAAGCCAGAAGCAGATCCCACCTGAATAAAAGTGTCTGTGCAGTGAAGGAAACCATAGCAAGCCTTCACTGCTGGGACTCAGTCACATGGACATGGCCTCCCTGGTGTTACTTCTGGGTTGTAAACTGTATTTTGCAGGTGTCAGTTCTTTTTAGATAGTTCAGCATTGAGATTTGGGTGTCAGATGGTATCCAGAGAAGCTGGGGTCTAGCTCAGCACCCCTTGCTTTAGCCAGCACTGTGCTGGATTTGCCCCAGGGCACACAACAGGTTGAAGGAAGTATCCATGGATGCATGACAGAAATTCAGAATATTAATTTTGGAATATGACCCAGAGCCTTCAGGGCCTGTAAGGTTGTTTTTCTTTCCAGCAGCGTGTTCAGTGCTGGGGATCTCTGCTTAGGGTCCCCATTCCTCCTCTCACTCCTGTCCACTGGGTGCTGGTGAGATGCAGTCCTGATTAAACAATTCCCTCCCCAGGAAAGCTTCTGGAACTTGCTCATTTCCTCTGTGCCTGGACTGATAGGTAAGAAACCCTCTTGGACCTTTGGGGATTTATTCTGTTATTCCTCGAGGTGAGAAAGTCTTCTCATGGTAGAAGGGGAAGGAAATTTGATGCCAGGGTCCCTGGGAGGGATGCAGGCAGGAGCTGAGGGCTGGGGACAGTCACACCTGATGAGGGCTGGGGCAGTGGCACTGAGGGGCCTCGTTAGCTCTGGCCTGTGTCGAACACCATCATCTGCTCACAATGTCAGGCTGTGCATCTTTATGGAGCAGGGCTGATGGGTGAGGTGGAAATTATGGATATGTATGCAAATGGATGCAAATTTACACTCTACTGAGTATTCAGTAGGGCTTGTTGGCATATTCCATAAGGAAGCAGCTATTTTAAGTTTATAATATTTTGTTCTAGTCTCTGGAAGACATAATCCCTTCTCAAAGGGCTGGGAATTCATCATTAGGTGCATCAGAGCCCTGAAGAAGGGTAAAAGGCAGCCTGTGGTGTGGGAGCAGCCCTGCCCTCTGGGAACAGGCAGGACTAGAGCACAAAGCCAGCAGGGAGCAAGGCCTCTCTGGGTGCTGTGGTGCATTTGCAAGTGGGGCAGAGCCAGGGCAGTCTGTGCTCAGGGCACACACCCCCTTGGGGTTTCACCTCTCCTGAGGGGGCTCAGTACTGGGCTGAAAAGCAGCTTGCCTGGGCAGGAGTTTGTGCCTCTGTCAGGCTCTTGTTGCTGGGTGAAATGGTCCCCAGGCAGGTCAGAAAGCAGAGGAAGCCATCAGCCTGCAGCAGCTGACGTGGGGAATACCCAATCCCCACCATCCCATGGTCCTACAACCAGTGCATCACTGGGGAGCAGTGACCCACGGACAGCACCCAGGAGCTCACCACGCAGCACACACAGTCACTCTGGTGGTGTGAGCCCAAGGTGGATCCCCAGCCCAAGCCCTGCTGCTGACCCCCACGGCCAGACATGGCCAGGGCTCAGTGCAGCTCAGAGCCGTGGTGTTACCATGGTGCCTGTGAGAGCAGCCACATCCTTCACCAGCTACATCCCTCCTTTCTGCTGTGAGGGCCTTCTTGTGTTCTTTTCCTCTTTCACATCAGTTCATTGCAGGTGACTCCAGCCCACAAGCTTTCAAATACAAACACACACAGAGGAATTTTCTTTCTGGGGCCAATGCAATGCTTGGCCCCAGGCAGGCCATCATTGCCCCAGGCAGCCCATCATCACACCAGCACTGCCAACACGAGGAAGGGGCTCAAGGGTGGCCCCCGGGGAGTCCCCACCTCAGAGGGAATTTCTTCCCTCCCTGGCTGTTTTTGGGCCTCGCTCATTGTGAGTGTGAATTGTGATGTGAGGATTGGGAGGGGTCTCGATGGCTGCATCCTCACATCCTGTGCAGAGGGGGAAAGGCAAGAGCATCCCATGGTCATGGGCTGAGGGAGAGAAGAGACAACCCATTGGCAAGGGGACCATTGCACAAGAGGGGGTCAGGATGATGTTCTTCCCCTGCAAGTGGCTGAGGACATCAGCTCTGTGTCCTGCCTGCTCACACAGGGATTTGAGGGTGAGCCACAGGCGGGGGTGTGTTTGTGTACTCAGACACCCTCCTGGGACACATCACTGACACGGAGGGAGGCAGAGCAGCCTGTGGCAGGAGCCTCCACCTGGTCACCCCTACGTGTTTGAATTTGCTGTTGGCGAAGCTTCATTTTTAAAATGCATTAGCAGCTCGAGGTCACTTACAATAGAGGCTTTAATTAATGCAGAGATCAATTTTTGTCAGTGCACGAGCAGAGCACAGTCTGTACTTTTCCTTCAGGAGCCACTCGCTCGCTCGTAGAGAACGCGCTGCAGGGAGGGGGGAGCTCTGCAGAAACAAAATGAAGCACCAGAGTCAGTTTGTGATGCTGGGATCGAGAGCTGCTGGAAGAACAGCTGTATCCGTGATTGTACCCATGATTGTATCCATGACTGCTGCACACCGACACACACATGCAGCCCGTGCTGCAGGCAGGGCAGAGCAAAGGGGTTGGTACACAAGTGTCTCCTGGGATCCTGCCTAAACAAGGAATTTAATTCACAGACATCCTTGGTAAGCAGCACATTGGTGGTTTGTGTCACTGAGGCTGTGCACGGCGGGTCTGGGCACCTGATGGCTTTGTTTTGCTTCTGGTCCTGAGTGTCAGGGGTCCCCCACTGTGAGAGACTAATTCAAAATGCATTAGTGTTAATGGCAAGATGTCAGGAGTCATTGCTTGCTAGGGTGTCAAAAGAAAAAGCAACCCGCATACTATTAATGGGCACCAGCACATAGCACGGTGCCTTCCCTTTGCACAATACAGCCGCTCACAGAAGTTGTGCACAAACTCGGATTGTGGCAGAGTCCTCAAAATATCCCTGAGCCCAAAGACAGACTTGGCTCGATGAAAGTATATTTTTATATCTCTTTCAGCAGGAGGGAGCAGTGGCAGGAGGGCATTTGGCAGGGACGGGTCTCACCGGAGTGCAGGGGCCAGCCAAGGCACTGCGGGGCGGCAGCTCCGGCCGCGTCCATCAGCATGCAGGGCTCTGCACTGCCCGTCCCCACGGGACTGCAGAGCGGGGACTGCGTAAGGAGCAGCAAAGGAGGCGAGGCTGAAAAAATCTGAGGGTTTTATCTATGAGAGAGCATCAATAAACCTGCATGAACCTGTGCAGTCAGATGACAAAAAAGTGCTGCAGCTTATTGGGGAGCAGGGAAAATATTTGCTGCAAGGACAGGGAAGGGGCTGATTCCTTAGTCCATGTTCCTCCTCTGGCTGGAGCACAGCACTGCAGCTCCCGCTGGCTGAGCACGTCCTGCTGTCTTCTGCTCCTGTCCTCAGCTAACCCTGCCGGCAGCGCTGGCCTGAGCATCAGGCACCGCTGGGACCGGCTCCTGCCAGCGTTCGGCATCCCTGAGCATCCCACACCAGGCCTGCAGTTGATACCTGGTCTCATCACCACCCCCCGTTCAAAAAAAACATGTTTAGGGCATCTCGGAACCACTGAGACAGTGCTGGCACCGTGCCTTCCCTCCTGTCTTCCTGACGTGGTCCTGTGCCCATGGAACCGCCTCCCCTCAAGCAGAGCCCCTCCAGCCCCGTGCCAGAGCCGAGCCCGGCACCAGAGCAGCTCTCAGCCCGCAGGAAGGGGCTGCCCTGCTCCGGGCAGGGGTGGCAGCTGCCCAGGGCCCCAGGGCTGCCAGGGAGGAATGGTGAGGGGCAGCTGAGAGGGGAGCCACATTCACAGGGAGGCAAGCAGGGAGAAGGTCGGGCAGAGCTGCTGCCACAGCAGGGGAAGAAAAGGGTTGGGCAGCTGAACACTGATTTTTGGACTGTCCTCCTCCCTTCTGCCTGCCAGAGCTGCTTCATCCAGAGCAGATGGTGCAAACTGGAACACAAGATGCTCCAGTAGCCTGGCATGCAAGAATGCCATGTGTTCTTTTTGGTTCAAAATAAGCTAAACTCAGCAAGACAAGGGTTCTGGTCATGATGTAACACCTTCAATGCATTAACACGTTGCTTAACTGCACCTCAATGTGCAGTTCAGTTCCCACAGTCATCTCCTCCCTCAAACACTTTCCTGCTTCTCAGTGCTTCAGGGTACCAGTGCCAGCTCTCAAGGTTTTTACACATCTGCTTTCTCCCAGGGATGCCAATCTGGTGCTGTGCAAAACAAGGGTGCCTGCAGCATCTCCAGCATTTCCACTCTGAAGTCCCCTCCCTGTGACTTAGCTGTGTTAAGCACTTACCCTGCAAAGTTAAAGCCAGATTTTATGCACACCCTCTCCAGCAGATTGCACCTGTTTAGGAAGCTGTTTATTCCCAGCACACCTGTTCTGTAGACAGAGATGGTGGCACATGAATTTAGTTCTTGGGTGGCAAGTGATAGCAAGATGTATTCCAAAATACTCAGCTTTTTGGGGAAAAGATGTGTGCTAGAAGTGACCAATTGTTCCAGTGAGTTCCACCCACCACTCCAGCTTCAGGACCTGATGTCATACCTCTGTGAAAATGGAATGAGCAGAGAAACAGGCACACACCAAATTACCCTCATTCCTTGCATAGCTCAATTCCTCACTTTCAGTCCTAGACTGGTGCTTCCAGGGATAAGAAAGTGCATTGTCAGAGAATCATTTCACCTGAATGCTTGCATTTATGAAAATTTTCCTGAGGGCTCAAGAGGACTCTTTAGGTAACCAGAATCAAAATCCGTAAGGGAAAAGATGATCTGGAAAGGGCTGTGCTGGAGGATTTGGGAAAGGATTCTGCTTGGCCAGACTTAAGCAGGGAAAAAAAAAAGAATAATGTATTCACATGAGCAATTAATTAATTTTTCTAGAAACATTCTCCTGCTTAAATTATAACCAAGCCCTGGCACTGCTGAGTGCTATGATTTAATACCCCCATAATTAAAGACTTTGTTGTCATCCCAAGCCCTCACTGTGCAGAGAAAAATCAGCTCAAGAGCAGGAGAAATGTTTTTTAAAAGTCAAAGGCTGATTAGCACGAATACTTGTGAGAAGGCTTCCAGCACAGAGCCCTCAGATCTCCTGTCAGCTGTCA